GTCTCCTCGTGGTCTCGCGGGGCGATGAAGGAGAGAGAGAGAGAGAGAGCTCTGAGAGTCGACTCTTTTGGTGTCCCCATGTCCCAAACACTCCATGGGACTGCCATTTTTGTGCCTATGTTGACCCCCTTTCAACCACATGGCATAAATGGCATATATGATATGGCATACATGGAGTGTTTGGGTGTTGATGTGATGACCTGTACCAGTCGGTAAACACGAACATCACCAACAAAAACCAGGGCCCCCTGTTTGGGGTGGTTAATTACAGTAATGGATACCCCGAATCACCTCTAAGGCTCTAAGGGGCATATTTAGACACCCCAAACAGGGGGCCCTGGTATGTAAAACATATGTTAGAGATGTGGGCCTGCAACCAGTCCACCAGGCTCCGTCCTCCACTGGGCCCCATCTGTGTCCGGCTTATCCTGCGAGGCGCAGGGGCGACTGCCAGGAGGGCCCGGAACTCTCAAGGCCGGGACGAAGCCGGAGGGCGCGACACCGACCCGCTGTGACGGCCCCTGTGGTGACGCAGTTCGGCACCCTGCGGGGCACGGAACCCGCTGAACCTCTGGGGACGGCGCCTCGGTCAAGGTTTGGTTTGTTCCACTTCCACTTCCGCTACGTGATCCATGACGTGCCACTAATTTGCGTTGGGAGTTGCGACCGAAGTCACGTCCGGTTTCGTTTCGTGCGGCGCAAGACATCCACGACTTGTAGCTTTGGCATGGTGGCGCCATCCACGAAACCATCATGTTCTTCCCAGCATGGTAAGATTCTTAGACACTTCTTCTCCTGCTCGCAGGTGGGTGCCATGCGAAGGTGCCAGCCTGCCATGGCTGGTGCGTTGACCAGCTGAGGCGCGGAGCATTGAACACGTGGAGGTTCTGATTGAAGCGGAGAAGACGTGAAAGCTCATTGTTCGACTCTCATTCTGACTGACTGTGTTTGACATTGTGTTTGACTTGTCCATGTTTTAAAGTTTTCTTTGAAGCACACTGGGCAACCTGACAGAAGTGCAGACCAAAATTATTGACGTTCGCAGCTCATTCTGTGCTCTCGCCCCTGTTTCCTTGCTCTGCCAATTTGCCTCGTGAGTCGCCATGCGCTGTGCTCTTGGCTTTTGGTGGGTGTCGGTGATGGTGGCCTCGGAGCAATCATGCCCCCAGGGGGAGTGTGATGCGAGCCCCCTTCTACAGCTTTCTCACCAGGTCGGGATCCTTGCAAATGCAACCAAGGACACTCGGTAGCTATGGAAACAGGTTTTGCTTCGAGCTGATCGACCCATTTGTTCAGCTGTAAGACGTATCACTGCAAAACCATGTATCAACCTCATCAGATTAAAGATTATGTAACACGTAAAGGTCTATGTTTTCTTCTTGTTCTTGTCACTTTGTGGATAATGGATGCCCAAAACTGATTCCGGACTGGACGACTGCGCCACGCCACGCAGTCTCCATTGCAAGTTGGAGAAGCCTGCGATTCGGACGGCGACTGTGAGAGTGGAGTTTGCGCGCTGACGTGGTTCGGCTATGTGGCACGCCTCTACCAGACAACCACCGTCGAACCAGGCTTGTCCAATAAGGTGACTTGGTCATGAGTCATTGGTCGGACGGTTCTTGCCATTTGATCACGAAAGGTAGCCTAATTATTAAAGGCTACCTTAAGTTTGCTATGCGAAGCAAAGCGGGCAGCTTGAACAGCCTGCTCGGGACCGTAACATTGAGATATAAATTCAATCATTTGGTGACCCCCGCCCTCGCCAGCGCCACTAGCATCGCCCACCATAGCATGACGCCTATTCACTGGCAGTCAATGCCCCTACAATGAGGTTGCGCAGCACGGCTTTTACGCAATGCATGCACAGGTCTTTACAAAGCGCATGTAGCTCTTGAACCACAGCTCTTACACACGCCAGGGTTTACACGCCGCAACTTTTACGCAAGCCAGCGTTCGCACACCATAAAGCGCAAAGCCGTGTTAACAAACCAACCTCACTACACCACATGGTGCTTACGCCGCACAGGGCTTACATAAGCCCCTTCTTGCACCACGCCACAGGCTGTAGCAACCTCTCCTTGCGACCCTGGCCACTTTTATGTGGAGCGTGCGTGCGCATTTGCGCAGCACAGTTTTGGCACCAGGCAGTTTTGCAAGCCACAGCTGTTACACAGACCTGTTGCGTTTAGTTACTGCGGCTTTCGTTTATACCTGCTTTTCGTGTTTCCCTGCCTCAAGTAATCTAGCAGTCGATGTGCTTGAAACTCTCAGCGAGCTGGCCGCGGAAACTCGGGAGGTCTGCCGAAATGATAGTATTGGCGGACGAAGAATGGAGAGACAATGAGAGACAAAAGCTGAAAGATTTCGAGACATCCTTACACATCCTGAACAAATCGTCGGTTCATAGAGTGAAAACCGCCTGGTGGTAAATATTTGGAACATTGGTCATGGCTTTCTGATCCGATGTTGGACCAGTAATGTTACATGTTTGCCTGTTTCATTGAACTTGACTGCCCTCAAGGATCAGGTGAGCAGTGTGCCTTGCAAGAGTTCAACCTTTAGGTAGTGTGATATAGATAGAAATCACGCCTAAACTCAACGTTCATGGTAGCGGAGCGGTGGTTGTAAGAGCCCAGCTACCGTCAACCGGTCGATGGCAAGCCGAACTGTTTCAGTTCAGGCGCCGGAGAGCTGTACAACACAAACATTACTTGCTTAGAAGCCTGGCTGCATCAGTCAGGGCTAGCAAAGAAGCAGTGGTGCAACAGCAAGCACAAGGCGCAAACATCCCAGCAGGGGAGGTTGTGCAGCTGTCTATGCAAATGGTGCAAGCATTGGCTGCGGGACAGAACCAATTGCAGCAAGCAGTGACAGAAGCCTACGCTGCCTACACATAGCAAGCGTTGAAGTTTGAGACCACTCAGAGCTGAAAGGCGTTTCACAGCCTGCCAAGTTCAGTGGGCAGACAGGAACTTCGGACTCTTGCTACTTCAAACTCAAGACATGGACTGAGACCAGCCATAAGACAGGCAGTTGCATCCAAATCTTGGAAGAGCAAGAAATCACAGAGACCTCCCTTGATGTGGACCATCCTGATGGAGCCAAGCTTGTTTCAGCTCAGGCCCGGCAGGCACTGATCTCACTTCAAGAGGTTCACACTTTGGATTGGAAGCTTTGAAAAGAAATGATCACCAAGTACGACCCTCAGAACCCACCAGCCAGCCATAACGTCTTGCGCCCATGGACCGCAGCAACGTGCACTGGACAAACTTTGACAGGACATTGACCTGGAGAACGTCAGGCGCAAGTATGAAGGGAGAAAGAAGGAGAGACTGGGCGACGACGTTGCCAAGACTTGCTTACAGCAGATGTGCCCAGTGAAGTTCAAGACTGACAGACTGTGACGTGATGAAGTCCAAAATTCTGACGTGCCTTGGGCCCATTGAGAGCACGCGAGGAGCCAAGACAGGTTCAGCGCCAATGGACGTAGACGCGCTTGCCACTGCTGCCAGCCAGATGCAAGCCTTGCCTGCCTTTGGAGCTCTGGAGGCAAAGGAAAGGATAAAGGCAAACAGAAGGGCAAAGGCAGCTTACGTCATGAATGACACTCATGGAAGGTTGATGGAGCAGTTCATGGAAGAATGATTGGAACAAAAACGATTGGTCCAAGAACAATTGGAACAACCTGCAGAGTTCCAAGAGCAAAGCAAAGGCGGTAAAGGCAAAGGTTCTAAGGGCAAGAGTAAGAAGGTAGCGGCAGTTGAGTTTGAAGCACCTGTGGCAACCGCCGCTCCTGTCAAGACCGAGTGGATGAAAGCAGCCATTCAAGAGGCTGAACAGAAGGGAAATTCGGCCAACCAAGCCGTCCTGGGTCGCCAGAACAAGATGGAAGAATTGAAGGCCCAGCTCAGTTCGATAGAGAGAAAGAAGCCAAGTTGATCCTCAGTCGTAAGACTGCAAGCAGCGCGGCTGGCGCTGGCTGAGTCAGCCATCAAAGGCTAACCCAGACCCAGCAGATTCGAGTGTTGAATCGCTTCGCCGCTAGGTCAAACGAAGGCGTTGGTGGAGCCAGAGCCACGGCTTGCAGAGCTGACCGCCAAGTGGGCCAAACCCAGAAGAACTACGGCGCCAAGACGTTCCCTGAAACACTGAAGATGCAAGCGCGTACGTGTCCACGCAGCGTGCACAGCTCAGGACAGACCTGACCTGCAAACTGCAACTCGCTCACGTGCACAAGGACTGCAAAGCCCAACTTTTGAGACAGGGGAACTGTTGAAGCGATTGGCGCGATACGTTGAATGTCGACCTGGCGTTGCGACATGTTTCCAAACCAGACCACTTGCAACCCATTCAATGTGTGGTCAGATGCCGACCATGCAGGTTGCATTAAAACGCAATGTTTCAGGAGGCGTGCTCATTTGACTCATGGCCCACGAGTGTTGCTTGGCAACATAAAGCGCAGGTCGAAGGGTTGTCTCCCTCAGCAGTGGAGAACCCGAGTATTATGGCTTAGCTTCACGAGCTTGCCAAATGCGTGGACTTGCTTCAACTGCAAAGGGTCGGATGCTTCCATAGGCACCCAATACCCTTGGGCGCAAGAGCGCGCTGCTAGGAAAGAGTTCCACGTCAGTAAAGATAGCGCTGGAAGTATGTTGACGAGCGTTCTCACTAAGCCCGTCACTGAAGAGAAAATCAACATGGCCATGATTTTTTGGAAGGTGAGCGTGAGCTGACCTGGAGAGCATGACGGCTGGAGCCTGGCAGGGCACCTATTTTTGCGCAAGATGTGGTGAGAGAGGCGTTCGGTCGATTCTTTTGTGCCAACTGGAGATGTTAAGCTTGGGAGGCGTGATCGGATGTTGGTACAGTTACATGTACAGTCGCTTGACTCGACCCTTGACTGCCCTCAAGGATCAGGTGCAAAGTGTGCCTTGCTAGATTCAACAGTGGTTTAAAGACCACCTATATCTCTTTGTGAGACTAAATTATCCGTTCTTTTTCGGCCATGCTGTCCACATAGCCATGATGATTTCAATGGAGGCCCATGTTGGAAGACACACGATTCGATGGCTGAGGCCTGCCAGCTGAAACTCTCAGGCTTCAATATTGTCCTCAGACAGAAGAAGCGGATCGCAGGACCAGGGTTTTTGCAACTTTGAACACTTCGAGACTTCGAGACAAAGGTTTTATCTATGTAGTGGGTCTGCCGTCTGTCTCTGAAGTATTCGAGAGCTTTGCACCTCAGTAGGGAAGGATTAAGCGTTTGGTTTTCATGTTTTTAGGAAACCTAAGCCGCCTACTATATTGCGGTTTTTTGATTTGAACACATAGACTACGATGGGCACGCCTGCTCAGTTGGTATGCAAGGGAACTGTTTGGCATGGCCAAATCAAAATGGCAGCGGATTACCAGGAGAGACTTCATCTGTCGCACCATTTTGTGCCTTCCACCGTTTTGTGCCGTCAACGGGTCTTAGGGAAAAAACGATCACAACCCGTGTCGTTCGCGTCGTTCTCAGCGATTCACCGCAGTAAGTGCCAAAGCCACCCAGAAGTACTTGCCAGTTTTGCGACAGGCCGCTCGGAGGGCCACGGCGGGCCACCGCGGATTTGGAAACATAGGTTTAGTGGCGCCTGGCGATGAGCTGTGTGGTTTTAGCTCACTTTTGGAGATGGGGACAGCGGCCGGTTGCAACCAACAGCAGACACCTCAAATTTATGGAAGGATCCTTTAGGCCGATGGTTGTATATTGAAACTGCTTAATTCGGGTGTCCCAAGTTCTCGCCTGTAACGGCTCCCAATAGACAACCATAGACAACCATAGAATAGATAAGGTTATCTATATGTATATATATAGAAAATATCTACAGACACATATATTTTTCGTGCAGTGGATCTCTTGTTGCCCGGGTGGAGCTCGTGTTGCCTGAAGTACTGGATTTGGGTATGTTCAAATTTGGTCTAATAAACTACTTCATGCCTGTGAGCTCTTTCAAAAACTCCTGTCAGTGTTTTCCTCACTACTTGTTTTTCTCTTCAAGTCATGGGGCTCAAGGGGGAGGCCGAAAACAACCAAGGCCGTCAACGCATGGAAATCCGTCATTCGGGGCCTGGCCATGTTGGTCCGAGGGGCCCCCAAGAAATTGGTCATCGAGTGTCTCGGATCTGCAACTTGGGCCATCGCTCCTAGGTTGGAGGCCATCGCTGTTAGGTTCACGCGCGACGCGATGGACTGTTTGCACATGTCTGGACAACGTGGACTCGTCGGAGACGAGAACCGGTGGGAAAAAGAAAGGGGGCCGGTTTCATCCCTCTGAAAGAGCAAGGATGGCCTCACAATGCGCATTGGTACTTGTAACATCTGGAAAGGCCCTTCGAGTAAAGCGTTTCGGGTCTTGTCATGTCAAGTCAATTGAGGACTGCCATCTTTCGAGGGTGGCTAAGATAGAACTCCAGAGAACACCCTCAAGTCAGGGGATCAAAACCTGGAGCCTTGGTTCATGTAGCCCAGGTAGGTCAACCAACCAAGGCATCCTGGTTTTCACTCACCCACACCCGGTCCTTTGTGCGTCGAACCGCCGTGTCTGTTTCCGTCGTTCTTCGATCGTCGGAGCCCAACGACTCCGATCCACCGGGTGTCTTTGGGGTGACGAAAAGCATCGAAAAACGCACGAAGGATGGGATTTTTGTTGGGGACTGATTTCACCCCGCGACCCAAACACCAGCCAGCGTGGGTTCCGCCAAAGGTCGCGCCACGGTGAACGGACGTTCGGACCTCGCGCCGGTGAGGTATGCCTTCGTGGGCCCGAAAGTCTTCGGGAAGAAGTATTGCGGCTGCAACAACAATTGCTGCAAGTCTTTGACGGGTTCTTCTGGACCAACGCTCCTCTACCAGGCGGATCCCAACTCCGGCCTACGAGGCCAGGCCGAAATCCTTTGTTTTGACATGTCGTTATCACATGGTTGGCTGGTTGGCTGGGGCCGGAATTTGTTCATGGAACTCCTTGGGCCATGGGGGAGACATGTGCCGTTTTCAGATGCAAACACATGTACTGTACTGCAGGTTGAGAGAATTTCAGGGAAGAGATGAGAAACTCACAAGAGGACACCAACCCTCGACCCGACCTCTTCGCACCGTGAGGCTTGGTCACCAAGGCCGAAATTGTCTTCACCACAACGAGATTGGGTAAGTACTATGGCACAAGCTATCTGGAATCGCTCTTATTGCGGGAGGTGGGCGTGTGTCTCGGCATTGGCTCGATCTGGGACTATCTCGGCATGGTCTACAAGGAACCCTCCGGCTCGATCAACACCCTCACCAACCTCTACGGGAACAGCGGCGAGATGATCGGCGGGTGGGAGTGGACGGGGCAAATCACAGGGCACGGGGTGCTCGAAGTGGAGAAGGACACCCGGAATATGCCTCTTCTGCAACCATTTCCTGCGTGCATTGGCTGCGGGTACGCGGAAGACGTGATGAAGGCACGGAAGACGTGATGGATGGGGATGGGGAATTTGGGCCCAGAACGGAGACGATCATGAAAGGTTGCCTCAGGCAACCCTGAGTTCGGCTTTAGCTTAGGACGAGGATGTTCCCAAGTGACCTGATTTGGGGAGTCGCGAGTGTCCATTCTTCTCAAGTTGATGATGTGTGTCAAATCCTGGACTCGGACCCACCGCGTTTGTTGGGGCCCACGGCTTGGGCGCTTGGGTCACTCGCCCGGGGGCCCCTTGGGCGCTCAGATCCGCTTGGAGACGCAGAAGACCATTGGAGCTCCGAGCGTCGGCCACTGGGCAATACCGGTGGTTTTGCGGCGGTGTTTTTGGGCTTTTGATGCCGGCTGGACTTCCATCGGTTTTCCTTCTAAACAGGTTGACCTCTGAGAAGGGATCCTACTCAGTTAGAAAGGGCGCATTGCTGGTCGTCGGGATTTCTCCGCGTGTCGGTTGTCTCCTGTAGTGCTTGGTTGCTGGTCGCTTCTCTTGTGGTGTCTTCGGCTGTCTTCAACTCGGGTGACTTGGTTGCTTGTGCTGCCTCTGTTTTTTGTGAAGCGTATGGCTGTCTCCGCTTGTTTATCTTGTTGGCGGGACATTTCATACATTGAATCGACCACTTGCAGGCCTCTTGCATTCTTTGGGCTACACCATCGACTACGAGAATGCCAATCTCCCGTTTGGAAATGAGATACCTTGCGCTGGATGCAGTGCTCAGCCAAAGCTCTTGAAGCCGAACATGAAAGTGAAGGCGAGGAGGGAGACTCTTGGGGGGGGTTTATATAGCGCTAAATGCTTGTGTGGAGTTCCAAAGTTCCAGATTTTTTGACAGTTTCCAGGTTGGTTGAGCCAACGCACTAATTGTGCGTTGCCATCCTTTTTGCCCAAGGAGTTGTTTGTTGCATCTTTTCGATGGAGTAGGAGAATTCTTCATGCAACTCCGTGGTGGCGGTGGAAGTTCTAGGGACACGGGGCAAGTCTTTCGGATTGACGGAGGGGAGAGAGTGAGACCCTGGCCCTTGGCCGCGCAGAACCAGAAGGGCAAGACGATCACAACAGTGAGAGGATTTCCCTACAGCAGCTCGCTCTTGGCTGAATCGGTGGAAGGCTGGGTGAGCTGGGGGTGTGCGAACATGTGACTGGAACATACTGGAACTACTTGTACCAAGCAACCAAAAGGTGTGCTGTTTCACGGACGCTTAGCTCTTTCAACACCATGGCCCCGGATGCAGGATGCACATGCTGAGTCTTGCTGGCCCCGTCTGCACTTTGCCACAAATCTGGAAGGCTTTTTTGTGGCCCAAAGCAAATTGGCCCGTGCTAAGCGCCAACCTCTTGCGCCGTCCTTCTTGACTGAAGAAACGATCGTTTAGCAGTGTTTACATGTTTTTACTCTTTTCTCGCAGCCCTTGGGACGCAGCAGATCAAGCCTCTAAATTATATCAAAGAGAAAGTGCCGACCAACTCCAGAAAGCGATTTCGTTGCCGTTGCCGTCCATCATGAGGCTACGAGATCGAGGACTCAACGACGCAGGACGCATGTTCTTGGACCCTTGAGCCTTCTCGCGCAAGTAAAACCCGCAAAGGACCACGTGCCCAGGAGGGAAACGATGAAGAGGAGCAGGAGATCTCCTGTCAGCAGTGAACAAGCACAAGCTGCATAATCCCTGTTCAGTCGGCCACGACTAAGAACTTGGTGCTTACAAGACGTGGCTATCTTTCTGACAAGGAGCTCTCTCCTCATCCCGGAAACACCCTTTGTGCCTTGAGTGCTACGGCTCACCGCGCCAAGAGGAACTTCAACCTTTCCACCCAACTATGTGGAGGAAAACGCGTTCTTTTTCAACAGATAGCGACAGCTACAGGTTCTTACTTCAAACAACAATGAGCTGGCTGTGCGCGCTTTCGAGACAGGGTGCCGGGCTGGGTGCCGGTGCCGGGTGTTGGTGCTGGCTGGTGCTGGTGCTAGGTGCTGTGAGCTGGCTGTGCGCGTGGTGGAGACAGGGTGCCGGTGTTGGGCGCCGTTGCGGGGTGCTGGCTGTACGCGTGGTGGAGACAGGGTTGCTGGTGCTGGCTGCGGTGCTGGGGCTGGGTGCTGTGAGCTGGCTGCGCACGTGGTGGAGACAGGGTGCCGGTGTTGGACGCCGTTGCTGGGTGCTGGCTGTACGCATGGTGGAGACAGGGTGCCAGTGCCGGGTGCGGTGCTGGTGCTGGGTGCTGTGGGCTGGCTGTGCGCGTGGTGGAGGCAGGCGTGTCGGTGCTGGGTGCCGGTGCAGGGTGTTAGCAGTGCGTATGGTGGAGAGGTGCTGGTGCTGGGTGCTGTGAGCTGCCGTGCCGGTGCTGGGTGCTGCTGGCCGTGCGCGTGAGCCGGGTGCTGGTGCTCCTTGTGGCGGAGATTGGGCGCCCGTGCTGGGTGCTGGTGCTGGCTGGGGTGACCTTCACCATCCAGCAGGACGACGGGGACGTCGCCGCTGTCGAGGCTGGTTGGTCGTTTGGTGAAACCCCTCCATCTCAAAGGTTTGCCCGTGAGACATCCCATGACACCCCAAGAGTGCCCAATGACAAGCCCAAGATGACGTCAGCGTGACGTGAGAGAAGAAGGGCGCTCCTTTGCTGATTTTCGACCGGATGCAACTGCTGGGCAATGTGGCTCCGGAAATCAACACAGCGAGGCAAAAACCAAAAGAGAATGATCATCCATCATCCAAATAGAGAAGCCAATCAACGACAATGCAATTGCGCCCGCCACGCAATGGAGAGCGCCGCAGCCAGACACCGGGTCACTGGGTCATGACGGATCGCTCTGTGGAATTCCATTGGAGTCCAAACCAAGGTTTGTTGAGCAATCTCAAGTCAATCCATTTCTCTTGTCTCAGCCGCAGACAAAAACCAAAGTGTTGACCTACTTTGATGTTCTGGTGTTTTGCTACAGTGTTATGTACATTAAGAAGGTTAGGTAAATGATTACTAACTAGTTATAAAATTTTAGTAAGTAGTTAGTACCTCCAAAATCATCACTTTGAAAACCTTTTTTTTTAGTGTTGTGCTTCATCAAAAAAACATTTGACTTCAATTATTTTCTAGAAAATCATCTTCCATTTGAAAAAATTGAGAAGAACACATTTAAAATTCTGTTGTTTCTAACACCAAAATTTTTATAACCAAAGGGTAAAAAAACAACCACAAAAGGCAGGAATGCTTAAAACAATCTTTTGGAAAACTATGCATGCATCGGCCTATAGAGGCCAATCTTTGGGCCTGTAGAGGCCAATCTTTGGGCCTGCAGAGGCCGAAACATGGGCCTATATAGGCCTAAAAGACAGGCCTGTAGAGGCCAAAGTCAAGCCTGCAATGGCCAAAGACACAGCTTTTTTCACTTGTGAAGCAGAGGAGCAGGTTTAAGGCAAATCACCCTGCCATTCTTTCCAAAGCTGTGCACCACTGGCTGCAAGACATCTTGAAGTGGTAGCAACTGCTTTTGGTCACAAGTTTCCCACACAGTGGCTATCTTGGTCTTCTGCTCCACAAATTTGAACTCATTCAGCAGCACACATGGTACATCAAGCACCAACAGAAAATGCAATGCTTTGCCGCATCTCAAGCCATTGCTTGCAGCATCTGTGAAGAATACCACATCTCAAATTGCAGCCCTTCTGCCTTCAACTTCTGGTGCAAAGATTTGGGAACATCTCGAGGGCACAGTAAATGACAAGTGTCATCAAACAACTCTGCATCTTGAAGGTTGTGAAGATGTTCCATAGTGCAAGCCACCAAGAGACCCTTGTCATAGGTCTTCAAGTTACAATGCACAGACCCATATTTCCTTGCTGTCTTGTGCTTCCTCTCACAGGACCAGCATGAAGGCAGCTGACCCCAGCGCTTCAAACAGTCAAAGAAGTGAAGGGTCCAATGATGTTTAGGCTTTGTGTAGTCTGCAAAGCCAGCCAAAGTGTGACACTCCAATGCACTCTCAACAAGGCCCAACAAAGTCTTGGGGCAAGGGCTGTCCAAAGAGGGTATGCTCTGTAGATAGTCCAAGAGCTGACACCATGCACTGAAGGATTTACACTCCTTGACCATGCAACTGTTGCTCATGTACATCACCTCCAAGAAGTACTGAAGAGGCTTGTACAGAGTCAACATCTCTGAGGCATTGCACTTGAAGCCCTTATCCTTTCTGTACTTGGCAACCTTTTGTGCATCAAAGAGCTTGACAATGTCAAAGCTTTGCTGGTGCTTTGGAAGCACCCATAAAGACAACCATTGGCCCAACAAGCCCCATGCATTGTATCCAGCATTGAAAAGAGCCTCCAAGACCAGATACACTGCATCAACCATGATGCCATTTGAGCACATTGTGTGCATATAGTCATGGCAATACAAGCTGGCAGGAAGCAATAAACCATGCCTCTGCAAAGTGCTGCTTGACAGAAGGCCATGTGGACTGTAAGATACCCCTGTGGCCTGCTGCCACTGGTTGAATGCAAGGCTTGAAAGCACATGAAATCTCTCGGCCATTCTGTTCCAAGAATCAACAATGTCTGCATCGCTTGAGAGCTTCAGCTGGCTGTGCTTGCGAAACTTAGACAATATCTTTTCCTCAGTTTCATCACTACCACCTTTGAGGTGGAAAATGTTTGCACAAAGCATGCAGGGCTTGGACCCTACATCTTGTCGACACATCCAAACAGCTTTGTGTGCAGCTCCATCTTGAAGAACCATTGACAATGTAAAGAATAACCGCATGCTGCCTTTGTCATTGGACAAAAGAACTCCTGTCTGTGGAGTGCCTGAAGAAAAGAGTTCCTCCATCAGCAGTCTGAAGATCTGAGACATTCCAGCTGACACCTTGGAAGCTTGCACTGTCCTGATTATACTCAATGTGAACCAGAAGTCTTCTTTGCTAAGCATGGTTGTAAACTCAAGAAAGCTCACATAGCAGCGCCAGGCCTTGCGACCAGAACTATTCAGAATGTTCCCTGGGTGAACTTCATCACAGTATACACAGAGTCGCCAGGGTTTGTTGATGCTTGAAGGCCTGAGGCTGTGCAGCTTGAGCATGTACTCTGCAAATGCACAATTTTTGTAAAAGACACCTGCCAACAGAGAAAGGAAGTTGACATAAAAGATCTCCACTCTTTCACCTTCCTTGAGAGATTTCGATGATTTGGTATCTTCTTGAAGATGAGGCTCAACAGACTTGAGCAAGGGCCCATACCTGGACATCTCCTCACTTTCCAAGCAAGCTTTGTTTTCTTTCCAAATGTCTTGCCTGGTGTGCTTTGGTGGCATACCATGCTTATCAATTTCTTGGCAGATGCTACTCAATGCACTCTGTGAACAGAATGGCACTGCATTTCTCAATTCACTGATTTTCCTTTTCTTTGAAGATGAAGGTGCTGCCATGGCAACTTTTCAAACCAAATTCAAAGACTGAAGCCTAAAAATAACACCTTCTAAACATGTCTATGTGAAAACTATTTGCTTTCTTTGGCTTGCATGTGTTCATCATCCAGCTGCTACAGACATGAAACTCCAAAACCCAATTGTGAACATACATGAAACTTCACTGCTGGTAGGTCTAATGTCTTTGCTTCTTTGGCAAGAGCTGCAGTGGAAGAAAGCATATATGGGTGACACCGCTATCTGTCTTGTGTATGTATTATTGAAAGTGAGAAAGGAAGCCTGCGCAGGCTGCTAGAGGCTTTTTGTATAGGTTGGGTTGGGCCTGCAATGGAAAGACATGTAATATGAATGGTCCTATCACTGGCTGGTTTGCCATCTAACCACAGTCAAAAGATGGGGAGCCTCTTGAGTTTCCTAGGGTCTGGTTTTGTGCCTGTAATGGCAAATGGAAAGAAAAATGTTTCACCTTGGTCTTGTGCCTGTAGTGGCAATTGAACATGAGAAAACTGCAAAGATTGCTAGACCTTGGGTTCGTGCCTGTAATGGCAATGGGAACCCAAATTCACTGCACATTTTTCAAGAAGGCATCACAGCATGCATGCTGCAGCTAGTTCTTGGGCCATTCCCCTGTGTTCACTTTTACCTTGACCTTCTCCTTGACTTCAGCCATGCGCTCCTCTGGCACAATGAAGTTCACTGTG